GAATACATTATTATTATGCCAGCCATCCAATACCACAAGTTTGATATGATTCATGTAGTAGTCTGTAGGCCCTGTACTTTGCCAGGATTGAAAATTGATTTTATAAAAAGGCAAATTGAACGATTACCAAGATTTCAGATAATTCCATCTATTAAAAAAAGGATGAAAATGATTGATGTTTGAATTCGTTCAGAAAGTGGACGAACATTACAATTTAACTTGTTCCACTTTACAATAGCGGCATTTTACACTTGAGACGCACCTTTGGTGTTGACATCAGTTCATTTGGTACTTGTGTGTGTTTAACCATCAAAAGATGGCCAAGGAGGCTACGGTGCTAAGGTTTTCCAGAGTTAAAAATACATGAAAAAAAGTCAAAATGTTGTTAATTCTAACTTTACCAGTTCTGTATTCAGTCAAAACAACCCGCAGTGAAACCATGCTTTCGTGGGGGAAAAAGGTAGTATAGAAAAGAGTATAATTTTTATCAACATTTTGACCTAATGCATTCCTTATCAAAATAACACTTCCGATAGCGTGTGCTGTCTTCAGCTTAAGTTTCGCTCTCTCCATAACTACATTTCAGCCACTTGATGCTAAAGCACATAACAACAAATGGTACTTTGTATATAGGGAAACACTTTGTAGTAAATTGTTTGACGTTAGGAAGACATTGGGCATAAGGGAGACATTGAACATTGGAGACATTGGGCATTAGGGAGACATTGGTCATTAGGGCGGAGACATTAATTTTGAGTGTCCTCTCTAATGCTTTAACTACCATTTCTAGAAGGGATGTTACCTCCGAAAGTTACTTTAAATGATTCCTTAGGTCGAGAATAGTACAATTTAAAAACGTCGGGGAGGGGAAAGTACATTGTATTCAAAAATGGGGTTGTGCGAGGGTTTTTGTTTAAATTTTTGCACACAAGTCTATGGGAATGCCTCCCAAAGGCGCCATTCTTGGTAATTGATTCACATGATTCTTTGCAGGAATCCTGTAGTGAAGTGTAGTGTAGTGAACTACGATTTCTTTAACTGCCCTTGGCCTTATACCGTAGTTTATTGCATCTGATCTCCCAGGAAATGAACTGGTACCCGCAAGGCGCACAAAATCTATGGACTCTATTTGTTTACCGTGGTTTATTCAACTGCCAAATAGAACGCACCCGGCCAGGCGTAACTAAATCACATATCGATCCAAGGGATTTTTATTAATATTATTTTTCCTGTAATATAACCGCGATGTTTGTGGCACGACCGCTTTTGTCCGTGTTACACTTCAGTCAGAAAACTGAGCGCAGGGAACGAGGTCGCCCGCTGACCGTTGGTATGCGACATTTTGAATTGGAATCTCACGCACGTGGTGGGTATGGCACGGCCAGTTAGTGGGTGCAGACTATAGGGCGCAAGGTTGGCTTTAAAGGTCGCATAAGTGGCTTGTCAAATGAAAAGTCTTGTTTGCTGATTTATGCAAGTAAGTGCGATTGTTCATAATCTACATAACTTATTGTGTTTATACCAAATTTCATTATGAATTTGCCAGTGATTATCATGATAACTATAATAACGAAGGGTTATCATAATAAAAATGAAAGGCATTTGTATGGCGCTTTATGTAAAATGCATGAAAGTGCCCCACAATAGAAAACGATAAAAACCATGGTTTCGTAATAAAAGTTAGAAAAGATCATTACTAAGCGTCTTCAAAACAATCTAAATATTGTTGAACAAGTTCATATGGTATTTTGATTTTTATTGAAATTAGTCATTTAAACGGGTTCGATGATCATTTTCCTTAGTTTGTTCTCTATGGATAGTCCATTCAGTGTCTGGGTCTATTACTTTCGCAGTCTCACCGGACAGTTTGTAAACTTATTTCTCCCAAAACACTCAAGTTGCAACCGAGTTTCTGTTTTCAGAATTATTCAGTTCATAACACGTATTTCTTTCTACCGTCTTTATAATAAATGCCCGATTTTGTAAACATTGCACGTCACTTCATTAGTGTTAAATGATAAGAGCTGTTTTGTTTTTGTTTATAATAAGTTTTATAATGGTTAATAATTTTAATGGTGCAATAAAAAAAATGCATTCAATTTACAAGAGAAGGAAAAACAACACGTATTTCTGTTGCCTCGGTAGACATACCAATTGTTGTAGTCGATTAAATAGCTCAGCGCAACTTTAAATTGACTCACAGCCGGCCTCGCGGGGGATATCTGACATTGATCCACTCCATACAGCCCGAAGCACCACAGCGACACAGATTGCGATCTATGTTCCTTGAAATGTTCAGCACATGAATGATCAACGATGTTGATACTGAAAAAGTATGAATGAGCCTTGATGAATGATCTGTGATGAAAGATGTTGATACGGGGAAAAGGTGTCTTCCTCGATTTTGTTAACAGATTAACGTTGACGCGGCAGGCCTGGCCTTTTGAGGTATATTTGGTTTCACGTGATTATTCTCACCGAAGACAATTCATAAGTGAGGTTGTGTAAAGATGTCTTTTCTATTTTGCCAGACGTCAGTAAACCCTGTATGTTGATTTTTCTTTGTCGCTTTGTCAAGCTATGTTGCCCTGCCAATGTTGAGGAAGTCAGTTGACAGTTGTATTTTTGTGATGGCCTCAACTGATATTTTTGCTAAATCTTTTCCTGGTTGTTCATTTTACTCTAGGTCAGAAAGGAAGTCGGCCTATATTTCCCTATAATGTGTCTTTTATTAGTACAGTTATATATACATCGATCTAAGGAGTTTTGTCTGTTGGTCTATTCAGGGCCCATTGTCTGTTCTTCAATGGAGAGGCTTTTCTGGCGTCGCACGTACGACAGTTGTTTCGTGTTACCAAAGTGCAGGCGTGTGAGGGCATGACTCTCAAATGTCAAAGTATTAACTTAGCGAGCTATTTTAGGTATGCTGTCAGAATTCTCTAGTATTTCAGATGACATTTTGCGAAACTGCGTATGTTGCGGCCATTAAAGTTTCATGCGTGGACTTAGAATGGCGTCTGTACCCACTCTAATCGGATGTGAAGAGTGTGCAGCGGGCCAAGTTATCTCAACAAGTTCGTCTGGCAGTCATGATAAAGCAATAAAAAATGTTTTGACTTTGTTTGGTTTTATGCATGAACCCTGGTCCATGGTTTAGAAGAGGGATTGTTTGTCTTTTTATAAACTTCGTGAAAGTTTAAGTTGTTTGTGTCATATGTTTTTACAGTGCTGGGCTAATAGACAGACGTGGGTGCGCTGAGTCGGCGCGTAGTAGACCTGGCTGATATTGCAGCAGCGAACAAAATTAAATTATCGAAGATTTATTAAGACACTGTTAAAGATAAGTAGGCCTGCTAGCATTTTGGTATTGGATCTCTCGAACTGCTCTCAATTTAACAAAATCGACAAGATTTAATTTGACCCGTATCCTTTGGAGTAGTCAACACAGCTGTCCAATAAAAATAGACCAGAAGCGCGCCGCACGCATAAAGTTCACATACAGGGTGAGTCAAAAAACACGAAACCCAAATGTCGGGACTATTGTTTTAGTGAAGTTCTGCATGAAGCACTTTCAAAATCTAGGATATGAAAGCCCAATTCATAACCTTTCTTTTAGTACAAGAATCATTCAAATCACTTATGTACTTTTTAAGTTACGGACTTTTAAACACAAATTTTGAATGATCATTCAATAAGACATACTCTGGTTGAACTTACATACCATCGTCCACATGTCGTTTTTACCCGCACAGATTGTCCAGTTATTTCTTAATCAAATATTTGTTCTACGAGAACCTAAATACAAAGGCCGCCACATGCATTCAAACACTTTCACATTTCTTCTAATTTACAGTTTCCCTTCAAACGATAATTACATACAACGGAAATAAAGTATGAAATCACCGGCGAAAGCACTGTGCGGTATCATAATAATAGCGCCCCACGGGACTGTGCACTTGCAACGTATTTTTACACTTCAATTGAATTTCTGACGAATCATTTATATACATGCACATGCGTCTGAATGATCAATGCATGCGCGAACATTATCCCGTAGGGCACTTTGAGGATGAATAGTGAATTCCACCACGCATAAGACACGTTCGGTATCTTTTTGACGGTCCCATTCAGTATCTTCTGAAGGGTGCTGGATCTCTAGAGATTTTGATAAATATTAAACCTATCAGCGAGGAAGGTCCGGGACTCGGATATTTGATTATTTTGTAACTCGAAACATGATTGGGAAATATGAATTTCGTTATGGTTAGGCACATTCTGTGTGTATGTGCTGTGTCTGATGTTGGAGCTATAAGGAGATCATTGTCTAATGAGACGTGATGGGAAATGTGATCAGGTCATGGCCGTTCGATGCTAACATTTGCACTTTGGGAGGAAACATTCGATGACAATCAAAACAAGTTGTAGAATTATAGAAAACTAAAAAGCTAGTTTTGTTTTCCAACTGCACATGCGCACATCAAGATTGTTTGATCACGATCTTCGCTACGGGAGAAACACAGCTTGCAGATAATAACGTTGGCCTTTACAAGTTTATGGGAATAGAGGTATAACCAAGTCTTCAATCTTCATTCGCATTGAAAATAGAAATACAGGTTGCTACTTAAGTGGGAGCATTATAATACATGGCGCAATCAAACATTTTTTGGATTATTATATTTTGCACTGATAAACTGTCTTCGAGTTTCGTGCCAACCCTTTGCAATTTCGCATAACACAGCGAATTGTTTCTTTAATGAAAATATTACACACAGTGCAAACGTTGAAGTCTTTTTGTGCGTCTACAAATTAATTATATCTCTTGATTTTTACTCACATTTCAACTGTTGTGTGAAGAAAAAAAAATCAAATTGTCACTTTCAAGGTATAAAGTAACCTTTTGCATTGATCGTATTTGCCATAATGATAAAGTCAGGAGGTTTCAACTTATTTTTAGTTTGTCTAAATCATAGCCAATCTCTGGTTTTTTGGGTTCTCCACAGGTGAAGATGTTCAAGACCACGACACAGGACAGTTAGACGACCCTGACCGCCATGGTGTATTCCTCCGCCGGTTAGCTTCCGCGCGTTACACAGAGGTACCGGGCGTAGAGGACGAACGCAACGAAACGGGAAATAACGCGGATGAGGACAGAAACTGCACTCCGCCTAGTACGTATAGTTTTGGTTTTCCCGTTTTTTTTGCTGGTCCCAGAGGGCCAGCCAAGTGTCCTCAAGTGTCCTCGACCGACCGACCGACCGATCGACCGACCGACTGACTGACGGACTGTTACTTGTGACTTAGCCTGTTCTGGGGTTATTCGCTGGTGTAGAGAGTCGGGTAGTGCTTTCGTATAGGATTACCCCTTAATGTGCTTAATCCGTTCCATTGTGTACACGAGATGCATGGAAGGACTTCATTTTTATTACATTGTCTAGATTTTGCGCGCTCTGGGACCATCTTTATGAGGCTTGCCTGGAACGTTTGCGATTCCAATCTCGAATATTCAAATTCTTCCTGTAAAACCAATTTACTGCATTTTCAAGAATCCATTTCGTCCTTGATCAAATGATTTCAGTTTTCAAACAAGTTAAAACCACGAGCACACCTATTGTATTCGTCATTTGAGTGTTTGATGCCGTTTCGTCTACGCCAAACCATAATATTCAGAAAAAAATATATTTGCCTCATTTCGCACAATTTAATCATACTTCCGTTCAATGTCGTCATGCATACTTTACGTGCTTTTTATCTTCAGCATTAATTAGCTGTTATCAAAGCCAAAGTAAGAATGACTTTCCACTATTTGATTCTTTTCCTTTTTCGTCCCATTCATGATTTTCTTTTGGTGAATGTCACAATTCTCGGAGTTCAGTACACATACTTTGTCCGATGCAGTGCGAACGAATGTACGTGCTTGAGGACAACAGACTAACACTTAATTAAACTCACGTCATACTATCTTTAACTTCACACTATTACATTTATTGATTCAAAGTGAATTCGATTTCCGAATTTGTCATTCGGCAAAAGGAGGGACAAATTCAATCGGTAGGCCTATTGAGTGACGAATACTCATGACACAATACTAACAAGGTTGATCAAACATTGAAAATGACTGTTAACCGACAAAACTGATTGACAAAATGCGTCTGAAATTCGTCGGAGACAAATTTCGATATTAGAATTGGTGAATTCGAATTGTAAAAATTTCAAAATAACCCGGAAAACCTATATTAGTTTACAAACGATCGCGAAAGGATATGGAATAGTGTTACGAGTGTGATCGTAATAACATTATATCCCGGCCAACACCAGAGGTATTGTATAAACCCCCACCTGCACTGGTGTACCGACACTTACGAGGAAGGTGCCATATTCCGGACACCTTAAGGTGCCGACTTGTAAATAATTCGGTGTTGGGTATAAGCAAACATCATGTAAGATATACCTTCACGGTAATCCTAGACTGCGATAATAATTGCATTGGCACTCAAGTCTGAGACCGGGAAACGGGACGCGCCTTAAAATATTTACGGTCAGTAGTGCAGTCAACTTGCCGTGGTGTATAACCGAACTTGTGTTGGGAATGACAAACAATCCAAAACATAACCAAAAACAAAAACAAATCACCAACCCCTAAAACCCGTGCAAACAAACAAACAAAAACATCAGAAAAAATGATCAGAAAGAATGAACGAGATTTCAGACTTAAAATTCGCTATTTCTGAGAGTAATATGCGGTAAAATAGTTCTCATCAAGTTACGATATGGAGTTGCTAGTGTTGTACAAATACGCATATTAAACTAGCGCAGCCTTGACGCCGTTCGGTCGAGATAATACTATACCTCAAACTTAATTCTTCATTCCTGCCGATACACATTGTCATCCGCCTTAAATATGCCACATTCTGAATATAAAACCCCCAGAATGGATAGTATACGTTGCGTAGCAACGGCCTACCCTGCCGCATCTGATACTCCTACAAGCTAATTCAACCACGTCAATAACTTGTCCTCGATTTTGTTCTCTCACTTCAAAAATAGATTTTACGCAACCTTCGATTTTCAGCGACAACGATCTCCTAAGCGCTACATCTCTGGGCTTGATGTTAACGGGGAGAGTAGGGGATCTAGTCCATATGTGAAGTCCAACCTACCCAGAGGGTCAGATGACGAGAGATAATAGAACTCGCTCCAAACGCGCGTGGTTTTCCAAATTGTTTTACGCATGACATGATAGTGTACCGTCAATTTACACTGCAGGTATTCCTTAATTGAATCTCACGTCGCCAATTATATTTGGATCACCGCCCGTTGCCGCGTTCACGTTGCCCTGGCATACAGGCGCAGCTTAACGCGTCACTCAGCCAAATTAAATAATTGTTTGTGCGTGCTGTCGCTGTTTTTAATGATAACATTATTCGAAGTCTTGGAGTTGTGTAGCGCGCGTTTAATGACATCATCTGGTTAGAGCGAGTGTGATGTTCAGCGTGATAATTGTTAATGGTTGAATTCACGGACGAGACATTATAGTTATACACTATATAAGGCTGTGGGGGCAAAAAGAAACATCGCTGGCCCATACACTCATTGAACATTTTGATTGGAAAGAGAATGAGTTACATCGTGTGTAAACTTCGTTTGATTAAGAAACACTTTATTGCTTTTGTCACACCATTTTCTGAGTAGAGATAGTAGAAATATCACTTTTTTCTTTTAAAGCAGTTTGTCAATCTTAAATGTGAAGATTGTTCGAATGTATATATTTTTTTTTTAATTAAAGCACAATGTGATATACAATTTACATCAAAAACCTGTTCATGTCTCTGTACCCATTAGTGGCGTTGCTCCAGCGCCCATCGCACTCGAGAAAAAAAGTATTTTCTTCAGGCAAAGCTGATATGAAACCATACCACGAAGACAACAGATATTCAATAAAAGTCAGAGAACTGAAAACGTATAGCTTAACCAATGACGTTCGTCTGATTTGACGTCAATGAGATTTGAGGTTATTAAAATGTCATGGTATTTGCCGTGCGGATAATGTCAACCCCAGATGTGTTTTTTTAAGTAAAGAAAACGCTTTTTGATTGAAAGAATCTGACAGAAAATACATTGTTGCACAAGAATATACTGTCGACATAGCATCAAGAAAAAGTCATTTCAGAGCATCTGTTATTTTCACGCCATGACATAACCTCTTGTATATATATATATTTAAGTCTTCCTCGTTCTTTCCTCCAACTTCTCCTTTTCTCTGCCACTCGTGTCCTCCTCAAGGAGCGGTTCAAGGATCGGGTGAAGAGGCAGCAGAAGTGTCGAGCGTCAAAGAAGCTCGAAATTGGCTTCCAGCGTCTTACTTTCTGTTGGAAATTTGACATTGGAAAGGAAAACAGACTGAAGTTATAGGGCTCGTAAGATTTAATATCACTATAGTGTGCGTGAGATTGCACACTTCACATTTTTTTTTTGCATTGATTGCCATGCATGATGCGTCCTTTTTTGTTATTCCTTTAGAGTGTAAAATAATGACAGTAACCAATAGCCACGTATCCACATCACCGCGGAAAGGTGTTTTGGGTTTATGATTTACTTGTAAGTTTGCCTCTGTGGTTTTCTGTTTGTAATTTAATCACGATTTAAATTGCTTGAAACATTTTTTTTAATTATTATTCAAAAGTCGAGCAAAAGTTAACAAACTACATAATACGCTCGTAGTAAGAGGTGTTAAAGAACTTTAACCCAATTGTAATACATGCACAGTGTGCGCTGATGTTATCTTGTGGATCATTCCATCCAGAATGCTCTCATCTCCTGGTAGTTGATATATTCTGGTTGGCTACACTGTTATCAACTTCCCGAGGAGTGTTGTATGCAAATTATTGATTCTTGCATGGATGCAAGGCACGTTACATATATTCCTAAAGAGGGTTTACATATATTCCTAAATAGAGTGCCCAGACAGCACATAATCAAGTACAATGTAGTTGCATATATATACAATCAGCAAACTTTGTTGTTTGAACAGAAATAACACTTCAACAGATGACAAAGTTGTCTTCCATAGTGGTTCCTTCACTCAGTTCAGTGTTCCATAATTCCATACATCCCTCGAATATAGTAGAGCTATATTAGGATACAATTTCTTTAAAAAAAATATTTTAGACTTTTAAAAGGTAAAAATGCAATGCAAAATAAAACGGTGTTGAAAAATACAATACGACAAACATAACGTTTTGATAACTCAAACAGCCCCCCCCCTCAAAAAAGAAGAAAATCGAACTAAATCAAACAAAATAATCTGGTTTACATTTAAAAAATACAGTAGCTGTAAAGTTTCGGCCGCACCATAGAGCTGTATATCTTTATTATACTTATGGGCCGCACCTATCAATAAAATTGACGTCAAATATCAATTCAGATTAAAACATCGTGAAATCGGCAGGCATAGTGTTGATTTTACAGGTGTGATTGTTTAGTTAATCTTCACTATCCCAACGCATATCGTGGAATATTTTCATCAAAAGAATTTTGCCGCGTGAATCGCGCGTTCGGTGAGCCGTGAACGATTATCGTTTCCCGAGTTCGTGTATACGCTCTAGCTGCATTCGGACACCCAACGGGATGTAACGTATCTTTAATATTAATTATACAGTCCAGTCTGAGTAATCCAATCGGTGTAGACCAGTAAATAAATTGACACAGATCCCATTGATAACTGCGGCCCTCACTTCAAAGCATCAAGGAAAACACACAGCTTTCCAAGGTGTTCGAGACACACATCAAACTAAAGCTTATTTTATCATTTTTTTACGTTCTGTTAATTTTTTTTGGGCAGCTCTATGGGTTTAACCAATAACCTTTTTGAGACTTTTTAATCCAAAGATGATCACCCCTAAAAGTGGTTCTGAGGTCCGTCGCCATTTTGAAAAACGATCCCTCCACTCAATTGGCATTTAGAGCAATTTTAGGGCCTAATTTCATCCAAATTTCACAGAAATACAAACTCAAAGTCCTGTGTAGAGAGCCTCCACCCTTCGGTTTTACAAATCCTTAACTGCTTGGGCCACAAAATCGTCTAATAACAGAGGATTTGAGGGCATGTAAATCGTGAGTTGGCCCGCGCATGGAATTTGGGGCCTATTTACTGGCCTGCAACCTTTACGCC